AACATGATTTGAAATTGATAAGATTTAGTTTTCTTGAAGTTAATTGTGTGGTAGGAATTCCTACATAGACATTTTCTTACTTTCAAGCTCTGTAAAATATTCTGAATAAGTACTTCTAATGCTCAACTATACTTCAGGCAAGACAATGCCATTGTAATTGCAGTGATACAAAGATGGGATAGACAATCATGGGAAATGAGCAAAAAAGCTATTGAGTACCATAAATATATATTGGTACATTTTATGAAATGTGTTTGTCAAGACTTAACAGAGTGATGATTATTTGCAGAGATTTCAATTAGAATATCATTGAAATTGTTAAATAGCCTAGAATACTTAGAATGAATTCACAAGGTACTATGTTTCTAATATCCATTTAAGGTGTATCTTGCAAGCCTATGCATTTGTGCTACTTCACAGAAGTACAGGATGCTTCTTTCAGCATGTCACAGCAAACTTTTAAAGGTTCTTATTCTGCTTTTATTTTTTTCTAATATTGAAGGATAAAATGTAAGAATAACACAATAAATGGCCATGTACATCATGCAAAAGTAACTAGTAATTCATGTTAGCCTATTTAGAAAAGGGAATTAAAACATTAGAAAAATAAAGCACCTTCATCTTCTTGTCTTCTTCCTCTGCAGAGGCTGTGGAAATGTGAATTTGCTGCATACACAGCTCCTGAGAGAATTTGGACTCTGAGTTCTTTCCGGTTTTTTTTGGTGCTGGGGATCGAACTCGGGCCCTTGTGCTTGCCAGGCAGTGGAACCACTGAGCTAAATCCCTGGCTGGACTCTGAGTTCTTACACCACATTCCCAGCAGTTTTACTTTAGATCTTGTCATCTCCAACAACATAGTCACTTTCTGATTTCAATCTTAAGAGTCAATCTCTGATCAAAAACACCTCTCTTTCCAGCTTATTCGCTTCACTGACACCCTCACCCCAACAATTAATTGGCACTTTCCTAGGACCTATCTATCATCTTTTACTATATTTTCCCAACCTTCTTACTAAACTTTCTGTGTCACCTTCTTATTCTTCTTTCTCTTTTTATAAATTTAGTTATACTTGATCATAATAAGCCTTATATACTGAAAGGGTTAGGACCAAAATGTACAATATTGGGAAATAGGAAGAAAATGTTCAAATGGGAAGAAGGATAAGGGAGGGGAGGGGGAAAGGAATGAAAGGAAAAGAAAAAAAGAGAGTAGAAGGAGAAAAGTGGCAACAAAGCTTTTATAAATAAGAAGGGAAAGAGAGGTTGAAGGGAGGGGAGGAGATTGGGGGAAAAGAAGAATCAAGATATATTTATGTACAGGTACAAATTCACTATGATGAATGTGATCATTATGCATATCTAAAATGTATCAATAAAACTAATTTAAAAATAAGCCTATATAAATAACATCCAAGTCTTTCTTTTGATGACTTAAAAATCTCTATCACTGACCTAAATTATCAGCATACTTCATTGAACTGTTCTAGCACAGGAATGTGGGTGAAGTAAACATGACTGATAGTCTAACCAGAAGTGGGTGTTGATTGGTTGACTCTAAAGGTTATAGCATATGAAATACAATTTATATAAAACAATAGAGTATCATAAATACAAAAAAGAGTTTCAGAAGTTTGAGTCCTGATTCAGCAATTTAGCAATTTAGCAAGGCTCTATTAAAAAGGTCACTGTCAATTTTAGCTATCATCTTTCCATGAAACTCATCCAATATAGATGGACTCAAATAAGGATTATGTTTTTCTTTTACCAGCCAACTTCCATGTGATAATTATCTCCTCTTTCCCATGAATCACTATTTCTCCTTAATAGCGTTTGAACATAGCATATTGGTCTGGTACAAAATAAATGCAAAATAAAACTTATTCTTGCATCCTACTTCTGTTCTTCTATTCTTTATAGCAAATTCTATCAAAATAAACATGCCCGTTTCCATTCTCTACTCAATCCATTTCAGCCAAGTTTTTCTCAAAGTATCATAATCTAGATCCAAGGTCAATTTTTCTCATAAATTTCAAGATTATTTACACTTCATTTTGGTTGGTAAGACATCTGATAATATTCTGGATATAATTGATTTGCAAATAATCTGCCCCTCCACACACACTCCAGGAATGATAAAATTTTCTTTTATTGTTTGAGAGTTCTGAAGTTTTAATATCCCGTACCTACCTGTGTGTGTGTGTGTGTGTGTGTGTGTGTGTGTGTGTGTAACTTATACAGCCTAACCCTAAGTAATACCTTTAAATTTGGTGATCCATATTGATTTTCAGAAGTGGAAAATTTCAGCTCTAATTTCGCTGCATACATCTCCCCTCTAGCCTATTTCCTGTCCTATGATGTTCTAGTAGAGATTCAAGGGTTGATTTGTCCATTGTTTCCTTTAATTGGGGATTTTCCTTCACATATTTGGAGAACATACAGTCAGAAGCATTGAAGTAAATAATTATTTCATTTCTTTTTGGATTGTTTCTTTTACTATCTATTTTCCTTTTCTTTTTTAGTCATAATTTTTGTATCAAATTATATTTCATGACATTAATGTTGCTGCACTAAATGTCTATTTTCAAACCTTCCTGGTGGTTTGGTCTTAGGTTTTACATTGTCAGCAGCATGGAATATTGTTTTTTAAATATAAGCTGATGATTTTAATTGGTATACCCTCAATATTTGCATTAGATTTGTCTTATAAGTTTCATGTTATATCCTTTCTTTTAAAACATGAGCTATTTAGTTTTCTAATGTCCTCCTATTATTCATATTTTAGCAAAAATTAATTATCCCATCTTTCTACCATTGCCATGCCTTTTTTACATAGTAATATTTCAGAGTCAATACATATATTTATTGATCTTTCCTAATTAATTTTGTAATTATGCCTTCTGACTTAGCCTTTTGGTTTGCTTTACATACATGTGAAGTAATTTCTTTGATAGTTATTTGAATGAGAGCATTGTGGTAAATTTTTTAAATCTATACTGATTGCGTCCATCAATTTTGAATGATAATTTAACAATGTATGAAACTTGAATTTGACATTTATTTTTGCTTATCTTTGAAGAAAATCATTTTCTCTGGTATCTTTTGCATCCCCTTATGTGTGTTTTCTCTATGTGACTTTTCTTACTCTTTGTATTTACTATTGAGCTATTTTATCATATCTCTAGCAATTAGTTCTTTATTTTCTGATGTTCAGTACTCTCTGCTCTTTTTTTGATCTTGTCTGTCATCTTTCTTTCAGTCCAGTTTTTGGCCTCAAGATCTTTTCATCTTAAAGGCCTCACTCCTAGTTTTCTATATGTATAGTCTGAGTCAGTGAATTGCTCTTTTTACAAGCAAGCACACCTAATCAAGAACCTTGCTATGAATCTATGAAGCTTGACTTGGTCACTCACCTGATGTAATAATTCAACCAGTTTTCTGATGTGGCTCTCCAATGCCTGCTTTGACTTTTAGCCCCATTTCTTTTCTACAGAGATGATTACATTATTCGTGAGGCTTTCTGTGTCTCAGGCATGCTTTGTTGTATGTTTGTTCTTGTTTGTACATCATCGTTATATATTATATCCTTCTCTGGACTAGGTAAGAATGAGGGATCAATGCAGTTCATCATCAGTTATATTTATTTCTTGATACCATGTTTCCCTGAAAATAAGACCTAGCTGGAAAACAATCAAGGTTGAAAACTAGAGATTGAAAATGCCAGCACCAATCAGCCAGTCCTTGCCTTACCCACCTACAGAGGTTCCGTTGACCAAGAGAATAGTGGTGACTTGTAATGCAAGGATTGGCTGAATGAGGCTGGCATTTTTGATCTCTAGATTTCAAGGCTTATTATTTTCTAACTAAGTCTTTTTTTGTGGGGGAGGTAAAGAGGGTATTGCACATCAGCTGTATTGGCCATATTAATTCAATCTTCTCTGTGTTGGCCATATTAATTCAATCTTCTCTGTTTTCTTTTAAACACATTTATCATGATGATAACACCTTGAGCAATGTGAATTGAACAAAGTGTGGTCTGCTACAGGTGTCATTAACATCACCTGGGTGTGTATTCTCAGGTCTATCTCACATCTACTGAATCACACTGTGAAACTAAATCCTGAGCATCTGTAACTTAATACACTCTCCATGTGACTCTTATACATACTAAACTTGAGAAATACTTATCTAGTTAATATGGGTACCTCAATTCTTGGCTGCCCATTAGAAAGACCTGGGGTGCTTGAAAATATTGAAGCTAGAGCACTACCCTGGGTCAGTTATACCAGAATTTCTGGAAGCAGAGAGGCTTATTATATGCTTTTCAGTTGACTATAAAGTACATCTAAGGTTGGAGACCATTCTTCTAATCAAATGGCTCTTAATTGGGATGATTTTGTACACTCACCACAAAATATTTGCAAAGTCTGGAGACATTTTTGGTTGTAACTCCTGAGACAGAGTCACAACATCTTGTGAGAAGATGCTGTTAAATATCTTTTAATACACAGTATATTCTTTCCACTCGAACAAAGAATTTTCTGGCCTGAAGTGTCAGTATTACAGAAGTTGGGAAACCTTGGTCTAGTTCATGCTTTTGTTTTAGTTTTTACACTTCCATTTAAAAAATTTTTAATAAAATCATCTTCATGGATTACAGAAGATTTTACTTTGAGGATATGATTTACCAGATGTAGGATAGACCTGAAAATATGTTCTTAGATTTTGTTGAGGGCACTAGGTGCTTCTGAAAGCTAAGCTTTGAGGCCTCCAATCTTTTCATATCCTTCTGAGATTGGGCACACCCTGATAATTAGGGGTAATCAATAGGAGATGCAGAAAACATAAAGTCTTGGGACATATTTTCTATATTTGAATTTTAATTACCTGTCTTGTTTTGTGGTTTTGGTGACATGAAATATACTTTTGTTATTATTAAATATATTTTCCTCTGTATTCTCTTAACATAATTGTATATTAATCTTTTTTGCTTTATTTTGTAGTATAAAAAGAAAAGTGATGTATGAATCTGAAATTCAATCTTTACTGAGACTGAAGTCAAAGAATAATGATTATCTCAAACACCTCTACAAAGAGGCTTATCAAATTGGTGCTATTTTCCATGTAACCAAACATAAAACAGATGAATTGGAACTTAAAATAACAGAAGTGAGAAGAAAATTTAAGGTTATGTATCTTTGTGTTCTTAACTATGAAAAAAAGCATTTAACTTGAATTTTATTGAGTTGATCTCAATCATTAGATTTTAATTTAAGGGTAAATAGTCTAAAAATTGTCTCTTTTGAAAAATACGAAAATCATATCTTTCCAAAGGCCCAGCTTGCATAGAAAAGGATGAGACTTCAATGTTCCGAATCAACTTTTGTATCTATCTTTTGTTATTTATTTTCAACTATAAACTTCTTGGAGCACCAGGAGTGTGGGGCTTGGTTCAGATTCAAGTGGTAGAAACAGGGAATTCTGAGCTGTACCCTTACATCCTTTCTAACAAAGATACAGGAAGTACCTACATTGGATTTGTGAATTATTGGATTCCAGAGGACCGGGCAATGTGTAGACTATAGTGCTACAAAAACAACTGCTCACATGCCTCAAATCCAGTGCTTTGGGAGACATATGATGAATAGTTCCTCCCTGCCATTTGTTGCAATGTCAGTCCCATTTTACTGCACCTGGGAGGCCACTTTAGCAGGCTGCTTCCATCCATCACACCGCACACGCCCACACTTCTATCTTTGGCATTTTCTCATGAAAAACTTAGAAGCATAAAATTACTATATAATTTATACTGTGTGTCATAAACCTGTTGCCGTCACTATCTTTAGTGAAAACTTTCCATTGGAATGTATAAATTAGGGACATATAGATTCTCTGCCAGGAAATGTTCTGTACTGAATGACTGAGGTGTAGTTTCCTCATTGAATCCAGCTGTTCAGCTGACTTGGTGACCTGTACCCAGTGAGTACTCAGTTGGTTCATAATGTCTTTTTATTTAAAAGGTAATAAACAGGGTAAATATTGTACATAGTAAAAATTAAATTTAAGATTATGATATTTTAAAGATATATGGCATATGGTTATGTATACAATGTAGAACATACAATAATACTGTATATATTATTTATAATTTAATTTTTATTAACACATTTCTCTAATTTTGTTTTTCATTGAAGATATAATTAAAGACATCATCATCCACTTACTTGGCAGCCTAGCAATATATTTTAACTTTTTCAATTCACTGGAAACCCTTCGTATCATTCAATTATTTTTCCCATAACTGTCAAAAAATTATGTTTTCTTCTTCAGACATATGGCTCCTTTTGTGTGACACTCACTTATCGAGTGGGATGTTGCATTGCATTATCATAATTATTATTATTATTATCATTTTTAAATTTCAAAATTATCCCCATGCTATAAAAATTTTGATAGATTAAGTGCAAATTTGGTATGATTCCACTGCACTTGCTAAATACTTGAGATAATCACGTTAGAGGAAGAGTTTACTTTGGCTCATGGTTTTAGAGGTTTTAGTCCATGGCAAATTAGCCACATTTGTTAGTACCTGTGGCAGCACAGTACCTCTTGGTAGGAGCACATAGCAAAGAAATCCCATTTACCACATTGTGTCCAAAAGAGAGACATGGAGAGAAATGCATTCCACAGTCACCTTCAAGGGCACTGCCCTGTCACCTAAGACTTTCCACTAGGCTTCACTTCTTAAAGGTTTCAACATTTTCCTATAGTTTCTGTCCTGGGACCAAGCTTTTAAAGGATGGACCTTTGCGGAACTTTCAAGATCCAAACTATAGCACTTACTTTGCAAACCCAAGTAGAGTGCTCCCCTTTCTGTCTTTTCGTGTCAAACTGAAGAAAGCGTTTGTCATATTCTTTCTCTACTCCATGGTTTCTGAGCTATCATTGGAAGAAGCAATAGAAAGAAATTGCTCCATTTAGAAACCATTCCCAATTGCTAAACACTCCTGCTTATATCTGAACCTGAACATACGTGGCATTAAATTTCTATAATGTAATGTACACACGCTTGCCTAGGTCAGAGTAGTACTGAATTAAAATTAAATTTCTAGTTTGCCCTTAGACAACTCAGGTTTGTAGTAACTCATGTATAGCATCTATGTAATGACCCAACTGCCTTTTGCTGAATGATTAATGAAAATCTATATACTCCTCTGAGTCTGAGCATTATGTTTTCTTTGCAGGCACATTTATATATTTGTTGATCTTGGCCTGAAACTAATCCTTAATAAATATCATCCAGAAATTAATTATAGCAATTTCACTTCTGGGGTAATTCTGAGGAGTAAAATTTTGAAACCTTAATGGTAGAATCTCTGAATTATGCTCTCTCAAGTTAATGTATAAACGAAGATATGTTTTAGTTAATTAACAGAAGCTAGCTATCCTGAACCATCGAGGGTAGCTAGGACTTTCATGCATTTTTAAGCTATAACAATAATTTGTCTCAAATTTTACAATCTTCATTTCTAATAACTGACCTATTCAGAAAAGTGCTGTTTGACCAAGTGCTAGAAAGTATTGACCAAGTGCTAGAAAGTATTCACCAAGTGGGATAGGAGGTAAGTCAATAAATAAAAGGGTAGTATGTAGTCAATTATGATGTTGAAATAGTGAAACAGAAAAACATCCAGAATTGTGTCAGAATATGTTATTGCCACAATAAAATTTTGAAAAGCTTTCACTACATGTTAAGCTTTTCTCAATACTTCAGTTGAAGGATCTGTGAGGGATTTTTCTCTAATGTGGTGCAATCCTGATAGAAGAGTGGGTATGACAGGTTAGTAGAAAGGAATGAAAAAAGCAGAAAGAAGAGAGAGCATTCCTCAAACTTATTTTATGTTGGACTTGTTATATATGTTAATTTAACATCTAATTTAATTGCTTCAATGCTTGCAATATTGTGCAGCTAACACATTTATTTTAGTGGCAAAATGATTGATCCAAAGTAGCAGAGTTTTAAGGTAACTATAGAGTTTAAAGCCCAAGACAACTGATACTGAATTTAACATAGTAGAATGCTAGACCTATACTCTGACCAACAAAGATTTAATCAAGTTCAAAACTTCAAAATAACCATATTAGAAGGTAATTTTAATGCTAGAAAGTGATGATGTATTAGATCCTCCACAGTAATATACCCATTAATTTTACATATTAGAGTCTTAGACTTCCCTTGAATACTTATGAAATATTTTAACTAATCCTAACTTATTCTTCAGAGAAAAATCTTGATCCACCTTTCATATGCTATAGAAGTTCCCCTTTATCTTTCCTTAACTTCTTTCTTTTCCTTAATTTTAGTTACCTACAGATAGCCAAGTTCTAAAAGTATTAAATGAAAAATTTTAGAATTAATTATGTTTTAAATTGTGTGTCATTCTGTGTAGAATGTTGAAATTTTGTGCTGTGCTGCTCTTTCTCCCAATTAAAATGTAAATCATCCCTTTTCCCAGCGTATCCATGCTGTATATGCTACTATCAGCCTGTTGGTCACTTAAGAGCCATCTTGACTATAAGATGGACTATTGTGGTATTGTAGTGTTTGCACTGAATAACCTTTATTTTACTTAATAATGACCTCAAAACATAAGACTAGTAATTCTAAAAATTTTATCACAGTATATTTTATTATTATTTTGTTAATGTCTTAGTGTGCCTAAATATAAATTATAAGATATATATATGTACATACAGAGGAAAAACATAGCATATATATAGGTTTTTACTAACCTCAGTTTCAGGCATTCATTGGATGTCCTGGAAAATATTTTTTTTATTCTTTTATTGGTACATTTTAGGTATACAACACAATTACATTTCTCTTTGGGAAATTGTACCTTTATATGATGCATCTTGGTTCTTATTTTTTCCCCATTCCTAGCCCTCCCTTCACCCCCTCCACCCTTCCCTATTTACAAAGACT